CTCCGTCCAGGCCCTGTGACTTATGCACACGTGCGTGCGCTGAGGATGGGTTTAACAAATGGCCCTGCCCACGAGAGGACCTGCACTGTCACTTAACTATGTGAGCCCCACTTCTTCTCCTGTAGTTGGCTCATTTGCAAAAATATTAAATAATTGCAGGACAGTGTGTTTGCTGTTCTGACAACTGTGTATGTCTGTGCAGGGCAGTGGGGTCACATCCCACGTGTTCATGGGGCCCCATGGTGCGGCCAGTACAGCTAGGCTTGGGGGCTCCATGCTGCCCCCGCGGTGTGACTCGGGCTCTTGCTTAACCTCTCTGAGCCTCAGTCCCTTGTGATAGTAGATGGGGAGGGAATTCGGTCAGCCCTGAGCTGCATCTGGTGGGGGCGGTGTGCTGCGCTCTCGCTGGGGGCTGGCCGCGGTGGTGGGGTCACCGTTCTGAGCACCTCTCTTGGGCACGAGAGGTGTGGAGTGAGCTCTGCAAGGCGAGCTGAGCTGCTTCCCAGGGAGCCAGCTGGGTCTCGGAGGCTCAGGGTAGTGTGTTCGGGAGCAGGTGGCCACACAGGACCACGGGCATGAGGGGCTTGTGCGCACGGATGGACGCAGGTGGCACCTGGGCTTGGGTGCTGCCTGGAGCCAGCCAAGGTGCCGGGGCCAGTCATCTAGGCCTTGCTGTCTGGGGCACCCCTCGGGCAGAGCCCCACTTTAGAAAGTGTATCCAGAGCAAGGTGGCCCCGGGAGGGAGGAACCCGGGCAGAGGCAGCGCGGAGAGCAGGGGAGCCAGGCGGGTGGGCAGGAGAGGTGGTCCGAGGGCAGATGGGAGGGCTGCGGGTCGATAGTGGTCGTTCGATGGAGGGGGCGGGAGTGAAGCCCCTCGGGGTGCTGGGTGTTCAGGGGTCGCACGCTGAGTCGAGGGCCCGGGGGGCATGCCCAGAGCCCCTGGACTGAGAGGCTGGGCGGGAGCGGCAGACCTGGGAGTGACTGGAGTGTCATGACAGTGGCAGCTGTGGGCAGTGCATGTGGGGAGGGGCAGGCGGGTGCCGAGGGGACATCGGGGAGCCCCGAGGAGTCCCTGTGGTGTGGCTCATCAGCGGCCGTTTGTGGCCTGGCACCCCAACTGGTCCTGGGGTCAGAGGTGTTGAAGTGGTGTTTGTCCTCTGGCCGTCTGCAGCCTCCCCAGGCGAGAGCACTGCTGCCACTTCTATCTGATTTTGTTACTTAATTTCTCACTTCCAAAAAATTCCAGGAATTGTCCAGGCACCCTTCCCCCATCACCGTGTGCCTTCATGTGCTTGCTGGGGACCCTCCCCTTCCATCTGAACACGTCAAAGCTGAGAGCTAAAAGTTTCCACAGACCAGTGTTCCAACAACTTATGTATCTTCTGAAGCCCCAAACTCGGAAGCGGTCCCAGACCGTGGCTCTGTCTGGGGTGGGCATTGTCCTGCAGTGGCGTCCACCACAGACAGGCGCCTCCCCGGGCGGCGTTGGGGAACGGCCCTGCACAGCCTCCAGGGACGGCGGCCGTGGTTGGTGTGTCATTGACAGCAGGGGCCTCTGCTTGGTTACGCGTCGGCAGGAGCGGTTTCTGGCCTTGGCGAGGACTTCAGGTTTGTTGCTGTGTAAATAAACCATGGAAAGTAGGGGTGTGCGCGCCGCCGCCTTTTACTGGTGCTGTTGATGGTCCGTCCTGCTGGGAAGAGCTTAGGAAGCAGCAGAGACTCGGAGGTTCCAGGAGAGGCTTTTGTCAGCGTCGGTTTCCAGGGCTGACCCGGGCTTTTGGGGACATCCTAAAGGGCAGCATCTAAGGCTCAGGACTGCTCACTGGGTCACCTGGTGTGTCCGTGTCATGGGACGGCTGTGACAAAGTCCCACACACTGGGTGTTGAAAACGGAAGTTCAAAATCAGGGTATGGCAGGGCCATG